TTTGTACTCCCATATATCCCCGTACCCTTCTACATATACCCTCTACTCCCTTGTACCGTTTTTATACTCCTATATATCCCCGTGCCATTCTAGATCTACCCTCTACTCCCTTGTATCGTTTCTATACTCCCATATATTCCTGTACCCTTCTATATCTACTCTCTTCTTCTTTGTATCGCCTTTTTACTCCCATATATCCCCGTACCCTTCTACATATACCCTCTACTCCCTTGTACCGTTTTTATATTCCCATATATCCCCGTACCCTTCTACATATACCATCTACTCCCTTGTATCGTCTTTGTACTCCCATATATCCCCGTACCCTTCTACATATACCCTCTACTCCCTTGTATCGTTTTTATACTCCCATATATCCCCGTACCATTCTACATCTACCCTCTACTCCCTTGCATCGTTTTTATACTCCCATACATTCCTGTACCCTTCTACATCTACCCTCTACTCCTTTGCATCGTCTTTGTACTCCCATATATTCCCGTGCCATTTACATACACCCTCTACTCCCTTGTATCGTTTTTAATTTGTACTCGCATTTCCTGGTGCCAATCTACATATACTCCCTTAGCTTTGAAGTGAATGGATCAACATCAAAGCGTTGTGTTGAATGGATTAACATCTGATCCCCAATCCATTTCGTTTGGAGTCACGCAAGGGTCCTTGATCGGTCTCTTGTTATTTATATCTATCATCGATCTACCTTCGGTGGTAAAGCATCGTAAAATCCTATTTTATGCAGAAAGCATATAGCTCTATGACCGACATAGAATTCATGCTCTCCGAAGATCTTAAGCATATAATAGAGTGTGGCTTAATAATAACTTTCTCTACTATAACTATAGAAAAACTAAGGTAATGTTGACTGGTACACATCAGAGGCTTGCCCTAGTTGATAGCTTCACAGTCAGGCTGTCAAGAGTCTATCAGTTTAAGTATCTTGGCGTTATGTAGGATCTATGCCTTTCGTGCAATATCATTAATTAATGACGATATAGACTACATTGGGCGCAAAAAATCGGCAAAGCTCGGCATGCTTCGTAAAGCGCGCAAGGTCGTTCCACGTTAGCCTTGTTTAACACTTTTTATTATTCATTCAAATATTTCTCTGTTTCTCCTTGGCTAAGAGCACACGCATAATTCACCATAACCAGCTACTTATGACCAAATTTGGAAGAACTTTGCGATTAATCAACCGATGGCGTCAAAAGTGCAGCACAGTTACAAGTTAATGCGCCGTTGAAGGAGAAGGCCTAGGGACGAGGTTGGGTTTTTTTGGTTGTAAAGACAAAAATTGCGGAACAGTCTGCGGAACATTTTACTCGTTTCACGACAAACTATTGTCTAAAAACATAACAACAAGACAACTCGACGGATAACATCTGCTATTTGAAGTACATTTGCAGACCTGAACAACCCTTTATCTACTCAACATCACTATCGAGGTGAACTTAACATCGACGAAGATTATATAAAGCATGTTTTAACTTGTCTTGTTTAAACGGCCTCGGTGGATAACACCCTCCTCGATCTGCATGTTAAGGCTGAACGACAGTACTTGGATAAGCTGCGTAGTCGTGCCGCTAGTATTATTGAATGCTAGACACTTCACAATCGCAGATGTCTCGCACCTTCGGTTGGCCTACGCTCCAGTCCCGCCGGGACTATCTAAAGTGCATGCTATTGTTTAAGAGCTTTCATGGCCTGGCTCCGGCATATTTACGTAATAAATTTAGCCACGCGCCATAGCGATTTGCTCCGTCTACCGCAAGCCAGGACAACTAAGTACCAGGGGTCCTTTAGGTTCAGCGGAGCCAAGATCTGGAACACGCTTTCCCTGGAACTGAGGAGCACACATGATATAAATAAGTTTGGGTTTGGCCTAAAAAGGCACTTTTAGATCGAAGCCAAATTGAGCCACCGATCCTTTTGCTATACTTAGTTGCTCCATTTTTAAAATCTGTTGTTGTCTTTTGTGCAGTTTGTTCTTTTCATCAGGGCCCCATTCAAACCGGCCTTGCCGAACCGGGTACTCTAGATAAATGTCGTTTAAAATAAAATAAAACTCCCATGTACCCGGTATTCAAAAATCCAGCTATATTAATTACACATAAATCACAAAGGAGCAACTCTAAATTCGTTAAAGATCAGTGAAATGTCTCTCATGATTCTCGAATGAATATAATAATATTCCAATCGGCCATAATATAACACTTTTTATTCTCTTTAGAAAGTCGAATGATACACAGAAGTTAATCAAGATCGCTTAGGAATTCTTGTAAATTTGTTTAGGCGGCCTATAAATAACACCTTCAATTATGAAGTTTCTTTCTTTTGGATCTATTAACTTCCACGTATACCCTCTAGTCTCCCTGCCCCTGTACTCTTATATATTCCTATGGTTTTTCAAAAATTCACCTCCACTTCCTTTTGTGGCTCTTCTGATAAACTTAAAACCACGGAACAAGCGATCTTATAATCACGGTCATTCAAAAGACCTTGCCCTTGAGATGGCAAAAAATCACGTAAGTAGTATTATTCTAAATAAGTTAGATAAAAATAGCACCTTCAGTACTACTTTAAGTATTTAACTTATTACTGTACATTAAGAGCTGTAACACTTATTTCTTTGTTTGACATGGTTAAAGTTGCATTTCACTTCGAGGAGACCCCTTAGGTTGTGGGGAGGGGGGTGGAAGATGAAATTTTTACTTGGGGGGAGGGGGGCTGGGGGCATCTGCTTTCTGAATACTAGTACTGTTAATAGTTAAGTTGTTCGTTTATATTGTGGGCTAATTGTTAATTCTAAATGACAGTTGTCTCTATGATCCGTTCTTCCTTTTCACATTTTCAGTTGCTGAAGATGATCATCAATGAGCAGCATGACCTGGACAAAGCCAAGGAGAATTTTAATATTCTTCAAAAAGGTTTGCTTTTCTCTTTCTTCGGCGCCCAAATAAAGTTATAACATAGCGCGCGTGCTTGCCCTATATTAGTCCTATTGAGCCGCTACAGAAACTCATAAGTTTCTTTCCCCAATTCTGACTGGCTAAAAGCACGTGCATAATTCACCATAACCAGTTACTGATGACCAAATTTGGAAGAATTTTGTGTTTAACGAGGAAATGACGTCAAAAATTCAGCCCGCTAAAGGTTAAGGCACCGTTAAGGCACCGTACTCGGAGGGTGTTATCCACCGAGGACTTTGGCCTCGGTGGATAACACCCTCCTCGATAAATTCTTCATATCCTACTCAGCCTCATTCATTAATTGCTAATTCACGCACGCCGCTACGTAAATAAAGATTTTTTTCATGATGACGCGTTCAACTGTGTTTTTCGTCTCTTTTCCTAAGTACTCAAAAATCGACGGCAATGATGAAAAACTTTCTCGATGTTTTTGGACTTTAGCTTTGTTCTAGCCACTCAAACTAACAGCAACAGCGGTGAAGATGCCTCGCAAATAGTACTAGAGCTTGAATGATTCGTTGAAAAGTCTGCCGTAAAGACTGACATTTAAGTGGAAAAAGACCACAAATTGGTCTGTATCGGAAAGTATTCAATTTGTATAAAGTTTCCTCCTTTTTCTACGTTTGTTTATCCTTTACAAAACAAGTTAATTATAAAGTAAGCTCAAAAGCGAAAAATTATGCACTTTTTTTGTCGCCGAACAATCCACACTGACAATCCCACTGAAGCAGGAAAATTTCTCTTGCAATAAGACACATTAGACAAGAAGACATAAATTTATTACTCACAAAAACAACTGCTGCCAGGTCTTCACAAGAATTAAACTGTAATGACCAGCCATTGTTCGTAGATGAATATAAGTTTAAAGTAAGATGACAGTCGTCTCCGCTACAAAACAGGTTTTCTGGATTTCGCCGAACAAAACATAAACATCTTTTCAGCCAAATCAAACCATACTCCACGACTTCTTAAGAACATGTGAGTATCTTAACTTTGGGTGGACTTTAAGACTCTTTTACTTTTGTTTCTGTTTAGTTTCCATTGATCAGTTTTACATAAAAAATTTTCATTCAAACTTGACGATTGGCGTGTTTGTAATCAGCCAATAGAAGCGTTTGTTATCGTGTCACGCGTTACGAGAATTTTGCAGTTAATCAAAAAGCAAGCATTTTTGTCAGCTATGTTATAAAAGAATTTGCTCATGCTTTTAGCTGTGAGTATATCGAGTTATGGATGCCTTTGGGAAGTTTGGACTGCACTCAAGAAGCTAGAGTTGCTCTCGGTTGCGCCTCGAGCCACTCTTACGCATCTTTTGTGCTCTTCAAACTTCCCGCGTGCATCCATAACTCGATATACGCACGCTAAGCATGAACAAATTCTTAATTTTTTCATGACTACTAGATTATGTTATCACTGGTTATTACCTACGCAAAACAAACTCGGTGCGATACATCATGCGTGAAGTATGACGGTCCCAAAGACCAGAAGGACTGCAAATGCGGGATCAAACAGTCACTGTTAATTAAACGGCTTTGTCACTAACTGCGGAAACTTTCAATCACAACCTTTGTGTCCTTCTGTTCACACGCCGAACGTGCTTTTAATTTTCAAAATTCAATTTTATGATACCATTTATTAAAAGGTTGTCAAGGTGAACTCTCCTGACATAACACACAACTTTCAAGAATAGGTTGTTTGATGAGTTCCTAGGTGTCTAAAAGATGTAAATGTTTGTTTAGAATGGCCGAAGCTCACTTGACTCTTCGACTTTGTTAAAGGCACTCTAATAAAAGCTGATAAAAAAATGACAAACAAAGATAGTCCAAGTTAGATTAGAAGGTGATTGAAAATCGCGGCCAAAGGTCCGAAATTGAATTCGAAACTTAGGAGACAGAAATGGGAGCTAGTGGTCCCGGTTTTTTGACGTCCGTACCGCGGTCGCATTACCTCCAATAGAACACTTAATTACAAAAGAAAGGTAACTGACGTTTTATTATTTGATATTCTGTTAGGAAGTTATCATTAGTCAGACATTGTCTATTTCTTGCAGATAGCTGCACTCACATCAAGTCAATTGGTCAGCCTGTGACTCACAACAATAGGAACTATCAGTACGGAGCATGGATGAAAGATCCGCTAGGAATCATGGGTACTGAGACCATATTCGTTATGGAGAACTACTACAGTAGCAACGTGCTTGAAGAGTTTGAAAACATGGACACGTTCAAAGCAGGCATCCCTCGTAAGAAGTACACACTGCCTTATAACTGGGACGGGACAGGAGGAGTAGTGTATGGACCTTACCTTTACTACAACAGGTATAAACGTTATATTTAAATAACATAAATAATGATTTGGAGGTAGCACATCCACAAAGTGGTTCTTCGTCTACCTGATTCCTGGTCTAACTGGAATTTGGAAGTGCTGGTTTTTAAGGAGAGGGGAAAACCGGAGTACCCAGAAAAAACCTCTCGGAGCAAAGGAGAGAACCAACAACCTCCTCAACCCTCCTCAACGGGATTTAAACCGGGGCCACATTGGTGGAAGGCGAGTGCTCTCACCACTGCGCCGTCCCTTGCTCCTTGTTATAATATTCTTTTAATCTGATCGAGTATCGCCAACGGGAAAACAAGGGTTTAAAAGATAATCATCACTAAAAGGTCGCATATATAAAAAAAATAATCAAAGGTGTCGTTTCATATCTGCGTAGACCATTTTTTAAAAAACTTAATTCTGGGGCGCTGATAATAAAAATTAGGTGATATACCAGTTTACTGACGTAGTATTTCCTAGTATAAGGGAAATCAAGATCATGACCTCGTCTCTTTTAACATAGGGCTTCCTCGATTGCAACTCATGATGTCTACGCATGCACAGCTATCAGGGACGGCGGAGCTGTATTCGTATTGGGGCCGGGAGCGGGCGCTAACAAGCAAGCGCCAGAGTCGCTAACTTGTAGGGGTTCTGGGGTAATTCTCCGCCAGAAAAGTTTGAAATCTTGAAGCTCGGAAATGCTGCTTTTAGCATTCTTGACGAGATATCAAAGAAATAAACGTGGATCAACCGTAAAATGACAGATGTTTTACTTTTTATTTGTTACTTGATACATATATGACTTAATACATATATCCCAGCCTTACGTATATTCCGGCCTTAGTGCGTACACTAAATTGTTTTATTATAAACGCTCGACGTGTGTAGCAAGAGGGAGAATGTTCAAAATCAGTGGTGTAAAATCACTTGTGTTACATTAAGATGCTAATCTTGACAGCATATGACAAATTTCAAGTATAAAACAAAGTGCAAAGTTTTGACAAGTAGGATTTTGACAAATACGATTTTCCTAACTCGTCCCTAATCGTCTATCGTTTTTATTCACAAGCTGAATAGTGAGTATACTAAGGGAAAAGAACTGAGTTGATAGGCTGAAGTAAATTTCCTGGAACAATGCATCTACCGTTACAGCAAGGGAAAACAACAAGTTAAACAGCTGAGGTCAGCAGTAGTAAATTTGCCGACATTCCTTTCATGATTTTCGTTCAGGGATACAAATGAATTTGCCACAGAAACTAAACAAAGCTTATCAAATCTATCTTTATGAGTGTTCAAAATCGCGAGATGGTTGAAACGTGCTTGCAACATTCTCGATCGAAGCCACGTCTTGATTCGTCTGGCTGTTGAGAAGGACCTTGCACTTGTCGCAGGATTGACGTAAATCAAAATGTAAACAACAATGATGTGGTCGATCAACTGTCGCTTGATTGTTGGCTGCAGATCTTGGACCTCCCTCAAAACGTCCTAAAAGAAGCGTAGAGGAACTCACCGCATGAGCACTTAAATCTTACTTAAATCTGTTTGTCTTAATGCTTTGCTCATTTTGTTTTGTTTTTCCATCTGTTAGTTTTCTTTCTCTATGTTTTATGGGTTTTTAAATTATTTGTAATTTTTTATTTATTTTAAATTTTTATTATTTGCTTAAAATTGGGAGGGCTAAAGCCCCTCCAGCTCTCCCGGCTCCGCCGTCCCTGGCTATATAAATGGTAAAAACATTCTCCACTGATACTAACAAATGGTGGTGTTTTTGTGGTGTTATGGCAGAGGGGCTACGAACATTATCGTAAAGTACAATTTGCGTACTGAACGTGTGGAAAAGCAGATAACCTTGTCGGGTTCAGCGAGGAACACCCATTACCAGTGGGGTGGTTACAGTCAAGTTGATCTGGCAGTTGACGAACAAGGACTGTGGGCCTTATGGGGCTACAGTGCAAACAGCAACAAACTAAGAGCGCAAATGATAGATGTATTCTACGGTAATACACACCAAGCTTGGAACTTAAATACAGGTACAACCAATTTTATCATTACAGAGCTCCTTGAACTTAATACAAAATATCATTCTTAACCATCGCTTGGAACTTTAATTCAGGTACTCGGCTTACGCCTTATTAGAGCTCCTTAAGCTAAATACAAAATTTCATGAAATGTAAAAGGGTTTCTGGAACTCGTTAGATTCACCATAAGTAAACTAAACCATTGCTATAACCTGTCATTTAGCAAACGGTTGCCATCACCCTTTCCTCCGTCAAATGCGCATCCTTTGTTTTAAATTGAATATCATATAATTTCGCAAACTTCGCAATTTCGTTACTTAGTCGAATGAGTTTTTATACTATAAGTGGGCATATGCGTGTTTTATTATCTTACTCCTAGTTTCCATTTAATGTTATTTTGCAGAAGTTATGAGCTCAATGGGAAATGCATTTGTGGCCTGTGGAGTGGTCTATTGTATAGACACCCATAGCTCAAGGTTCACAACCATCAACTTTGCTTATGACACCAAGACAGGAAAACAATGGAACCCCAACATTCAGTTCACCAATCAGTACAACTACAACTCCATGGTGGCCTACAACCCCAGAGAAAAAGTGCTCTACGCCTGGGATAACAGGCGTTTGGTCACTTATCCCATCTCGTTTGAGGAACGTTAGGTTGATTACCTGATCAGCTGGTGATGGGCTTGAAATAAATAGTAATTAGGAACGCTTTGGTATTAATATAAAGACGATGAGAAAACGGGGCAGCTCACAGCAAGCGCTCGAGTTTTACTATCATATTGACTCAAGAAACAAACAAATTCAATGGCACTGAATAAACCAACTTCATTATACGACGCACTCATACTCAAAACCCTACTGCTAATATTGTTTCTAAGTAATAAACTACGCCATGATTTAATAAAACCTATCAATGGTGCAAACGTTTAGACACTAAAAATTTAAAGGCCAAAATTGAAGAGTTGTCACCGAATAATGTCAAAAGCTAAATTTCTAGCAGAGACTAGTTTAGAGGCCGACCTCCACTGAAATTGTTGTCTTTTTCCTTTTGTCGGCAGTCTATTCGGTCAACGGTCTAAGGCATATTGAAGAAGTGTCATCGGAACCGCTGGATGGTGATCTAGCCTCGTTTTTTCATTAATATAAACTGCTGTAGTGCTGAGATGATTAATTAAATAAAAGTGTTTAAAAAGAACTTGAACATCTTTTTCGTCGCGTGTTGCTTTTTTGTTTTTAATGCACTGACAGTTTTTTAAAGTATTCTTAGTAACTAAATACAGGCCAACACTAGCCAGACTAGCACCTGAAACTTTTCCGAATTTACGGTGGTCAACTTTCACCCCACACGAAAACGAGAAACGGGACTTTTCTTCCAAATCAAATAAGGAGCTGGCGTTCACAATAGACCTTGTCACGGTTTTCGACGCCATCTTGACGAGTAGGCAAACGCGTGCGGAATTACAGTGTTTGTGTGAGAATCTAATTTCGAATAATTTCCGTAAAATGGCTGTTCTGAAAAAAAAAATGACTTGTAACCTAAAGCTTTATTCCTAAGGACTCTACTGAAAAAAATTGAGGGCGTTACATGCACCAGAAGACCTAGAACCACTTTTTAAATTTCCTATACATTTGTCCGTAAGAAAGTCCCCGGAAAATTACAGACAAATATATGGAAAATCTAAAGCAAGCCTCTGGAGAAATTTAGCACAGGTACGCCCCCAAATTTTTTTAGGTCAATCCTTTTGCTTCGTAGCTTTAGTATACAATTAAATTTTTTTCAGAACGGCCGTTTTACCGAAATTATTCGACAATAGATTTTCATACAAATACTGTAATTTCTCACACGTTTGCCTACTTGTCAAGATGGCGTCGAAAACCGTGACAAGGTCTATACAGTAAAACTCCGCGACTAAGAACGTTATCCTGGATTTTAAAAACCTGTTTGACCTAAAATTTGGAACAGGTTCTTATTTTCTAAAGTCTATGAAAAAATTATGTACAATTGGACAAATAAGGTAAGTCAACATTCAGAATCCTCTTTGGAGACATATTTACCTTATCAATGCAACTGCAATGCAAATGCCAATGTTTAAAGGAGCTGTGTGTCACGAAATTCAGCCAAATTAGGTAATTACAAAATGCCCGTTGACTTAAGAGAAACGTAAAAATAACCGCTTAAAAAATTAACAACAGATACAACAGATGCCACGGATGGGCAAAACTGAAGAAGATTGAAACGGATTGAAATCAGGGTTTTTGAAAACTGTTCAGCTTAACAGTTTTTCAAAGTTGATCTCTGCTGTTTGCAACTTCAAAAATAATGCTCAGGAGACATATTTGTTTGTCGCGGATCTCTGATTTTGTCATTTACATGTAATTTCCTTGCTTACTTTAAGTTCCATAGCGATTGAGGGCGAGTAATTGGCAAAATTAAACAAAATGAACTGGACTGTCGTGACATAGCCCCTTTAAATCAAATAAAATTAATTGTTATTGATGCTATTACAAATTAAATACAGTTCTTCTTATAATAAGTTTTATGTTCATTTTTACATAATTTCCAAAATTCATCTTAAAGTGGTTTCAACGACTTCTTCTTGGTCCAAGAGGACTTTCTTGTTTTTCGACTCCAAAGAAGGCAAGAACGAAAAATTCGGGAGCAGCAAGGAAGAGAAAAAAAAAAAAGAATCTCGTGAATAGGAAGTTTCTGTCTCACTGTTTTCTTTGCCGTATCTCCTCCCAGGAAGGCCATTTTTCATTAAACCTGAATTACATTTTGAACTACAGCAGATAAACAAAGTTTCAAAGGGACGGCTGTGCCGGTGAAAGTAAAAGTCAAGAGCTTGCTTTTATTATCAATCCGAGTTAGAGACGGCCTCAAAAGCTGGCTTAATTAGCACTTGCCCTTAAAAATATTAGGAAAGGGCAAGAAGTCTAAATGGACCGATCGCAAGTGATTAAAATTGGGAACAATAATATGTAATCGCTGGCAGAAACAGAAATAAAAAAAGTTAAACGGACGCAGTTGTAGATTTGATAGCCGGCTTAGCAAGCTTCATGTTAAACTGACATATCGTTTTCGTTTCGTTTTCCGTTATACTGGAGCTGGCTTAATCAGTTTGGTCTGCGTGAGCATAATTAGATCGCGGAAAAAACTTTTACTTATAATTACAAAACCACAAATTGCAGGGGAACAAGAAATAAAAAATACATAATTTACCGCATCACACGTAATTTCCGTTGATACTGAGGACAACAAACTCATTCTTGAGATATTTGATTAATTGCTCCGTAACTCTAGGTAACAGAGATACAGTACTCACTCCAGGTAACCTTTTTCACGTTCTCTAAACCCTTCACCTACGTCATACAGTTACCCCTGTACATGTATCTTCCCTGTCCTCTGATGGACTTCCTATAATCTCCAATATCCCGTCATTTCGGGCTCCTCTAAGCCCTCCAGCCATATTCCTGTATACATACCCCAACACTGAATTTTTACTTGCCATGAATCTGTGCTCAGCAATTGTAAGTGTGCTTGGATTTTGGATTCATTATAAGAGACGAATTAGTCGTTTGCCACCTTTGAGGTTAACACACTCGGAAATTCTTTATTAGAAAGACTTCAGAGCATCATTCAAACAAACTACCAATAAAAATGAAAACACCGACGTTCTCTCGAATTGGCAAAAACATGTGAGTCGTTAAAAAGAAGCTTTTATTCTTTGGCATGGCGCTTCTTACGCATAAAATACTTCCATGCAGTAAATGCTGTTCTAAGTTTTTCTAGTTTCATCCTGATTTCTTTGCTCTATAGTCATAATTAATAGGCTGTTCGGAAACAAGACTAAAGCATCACTATGACCGTACATGATTGAGCAAAATAAGTCGTCCATGGGATACATATGTTAATTTTAACACAGTGAAGTATTTAATACGGCCGAGTCTAGGAACTTTTTAGATAACGGATAAAGTTTCTTTAAGCCGTCTTCTTTTTTATTTGCACATGTTATCGAATAAACAATAAAGAAACTCTTGCAAAAATGATTGCTGTATTTAGCAGATCTAGGGCCTAATTTGACTAAACAGCCCAAATAGCCTAATAAATATGTTTTTAATCTCTTGGCTCACCTTATCTGTGACTACAAATTAATGCTGTTTATAGATTGTCGAAATTTTGGCTACAGACGTGTTTCTATTCATAAAAACTGCGTCAAATAAAAATTTCAAGCCATGTTACCATTTGTACAAATAAGTAGTCGAGAGACGGTTTTTTGCTGTGCAGATTCTGTTCACGTTGGAACAAAAAACAGATCAGAGGGAAAGACCTAATCCTAAGAACACTAAGAATGAAGGACAACGGTAACCTACGTAGGTGCTTTTCTATCAGTGATAAATCCAGTCTTTAATTTAAACATTGAGCAATGGATTAAGATAATTTAAGCCAGTATTTCATCCTTTTCTGCTATTTTACCTGGCGTGAATGCATTCGAGCAAAATGCATATTGACGATCATGGCTTGAGAGTGCGTGCCATGATACACTCACCTCAGTCTTTGTCATTCTTAAAAGGGAATACTTGACGTTGTTACCGTGACTTTTTCCTGTTTCGAAATTAACGTAGTAGCTTTTCCGAGTCCTTCTTACAGCAAAAGAGTTAAGCTTCATTGTCCCTTTTATCTTTGAAAATACGTCGATAAAATTGTACCCGTTTTGCTTTAGAAAACTGCGAGTGTACAAGCCTCATTATGGAGAGACGAGCTCTTTCCCTTTCAGGGTCTCCAATCGAGTGTTGATGTCTCACTGACAAAAGGTCCACAAAAGCTCACCAACTTAAAACCTTAGACCCTCCGGTCCTCAGTTGCAATAATGATCTTTATTTTCCCGCTCGAGCTCTCAGAGGTGAAATTTTTAATTAATTTAGGGCTTGTCAATTCAAGTCTTTGAGCTTCTTACAACTTTTCTAGTGAGTTACAACTTCCGCTGGTGTTTGTTGAACTATAGACGGTTCACTGAATATCTTTGCATTTGAATTTAAGATTGCTTAACATAATAAAACTATACCCGGAGGCGTGTTTTGGTTTAATCGCCTCAGTCTTCGGGAGACTTGTTAGTTCATCCTGTTTTGTCATTAGTCAGCAAACGTTTTTCCTCTTAAAACAAAAGAGTTTACAAAATTAATTAGTTTCCTTTTACTGTTAGTTGTTACAAATACTTCCATTTGCTTAGCAAACAAGGTCGCTACAGTTCAGTTTCTGTTCCCTACAAATGTTTTACTACTGACAGAGGCGATTTAAACCTGTTGTTGATTAATGTCGATTTGCCTTCTCCGTTTAAGCCATGTGATGAGGCTTGACAAGTTCAGTCTCTTTTCCTCTTTCATGCTAAGGTAATTGAAAATGACGTCATTACGTCCATAGTGTTGCAAATAAATGACATAAAATTACGTCCAATCAAGAGAAGAGAAAAATTCTCTCTTGCTTCTAATGTATTGCAATTGTTTTCAAAAACGCATGATCCTGCCAAATGACCTAAAATAACCAAACAGAATAGAGCTACCAGTTTTCCAGGATATTTTACTTCAAAATAACGCTGGAATAACGATCACTGACTTCATGTATTAACTATTATTATACGTTGTACTCACCATCTGTCTTCTCATTGGCTAAGAGCCTAACGCTCATTTGGAAACCAGCGCAACCTACAGATCAGTTAGTTATCTGCTATAATATCTAGAAAATTTTCGGTGAAATAAAACTGAAGCCCTTGTAATTTCCAAAAGACTCGCAGTGAGTTCCCCTAGGATGACCGAACGGGTACAAATTTTATAGCTCCGCTTAGAATGCATCAGTCTAGACTAAAAAAGTACTCTGGATAGCCTAAAAGGTGTTTTCAATGTTTTTAGGAGGAAACCGTCGTTGAAGTGGTCGTTGGGTGCCCTTGATTTAGGTTCCAGGCGACGGTCAGTTTGTCGTTATTTTCTTCAAAACAACGTATAATAAAACAATGATTCGGTTTTTTGTGATATACAAATATTCAAGGTCTCGGTAAGTGTTATCAGCCTTGGCCTTCGATCGGCTCGGCTGATACTACACTTATCTCGACCTTGATTATTCCGGATGCCACAAAAACCTCATCCAATAATTGTTTAAAAGCGGTTACTCCTGTTAAACCCCTTACACATATTATAATATTGCCCAGGGGGAAAAAACAGACTTTACGCCTCAAGAAGCTCCAAATTATGCCGAATAAGTGGACGGTACGGTTCAAAGGGTAAAAGCCAAAATTGTTTTCTAGCTGACTCTAAGTCTACATGTATACAGAGTTACGGTATCCAGGTTGCTTTACAAGGAAAGGCAGGCATACATCATTGATTAAAGAGATCAAATGGTTTTACAGAAAACAAATCTGGTACGGTTGCGGTTGCTTATAATACTCTGTTAGCAACTTGCAAGTAAGTTCCCCAAAAGCCGAACGCAAACTTAAAATTGAAGAACCTGAACTTACAAACAATTGGCAATTGTTATTTCGCCTAACAAATATAGGAAACCCGTGAAAATGAGTTTCCCTGTTTATTTGGAATTCTGAAGTGATTGTTTGTACTTTCAATCTCTTAAACTATTTTGTTAATCCCTAAATAACTCTATGCTTTGTTGTTAAACTAATTAAACATTCATCTACCTTAGCAACATATATTATAGCGTGAAGAAATACCTTTTATAAAAATGCAATATTCTTTAATTAATAACTCTGTGGGTAATTGTATTTGGGGGGGGGGGGGGGCCTTTAGTAAATTTGCCTTTTTTTTTTGTGTGTGGAACCCCCCCCCCCCCTTCTTTAGTTTTTAAATTTTTTTTTTTTTCTTTTTTAAAATGTTTTTTTTTTCTTTTTTTATTTATTTTTTTTTTAAAAAAACGATGGGGTGTTTCCCTTTCTTTTTTTTTTTTTTCACCGTTTTTATAAAATATTTTTGTTTTTTTTTAAAAAAAAATTAAAAAATTCACAACCATTAAAATTAATATTAATAGAGAAAAAAATTTTTTGATAAAAAATGTTTTTTTTTTTTTATTATAGCTGTGGGGGGTGTTGTGTGGGGGGGGGGGGGGGGGCATCTAGTAGATTAGCCTTTGCTATTCAGTAGGTGATCCCAGCCCGCTCCTATCTAGATTTTACAATTGTTATTTTCTACTTATGTAAACGTATTTATTTGCTCTTGTTAATTCAATGTATCATGCAAAAACGAGCTGAGTGATCCCCTTCTCTTATTCTTATCTTACACTGGTTTTCCATCCTCCCTCTTTGTGAAACAATATACTTCCGGAGCTTTTAATTCGAATTGGAACCACAGACACTTTCGGACGAGTTTTTAGGGAGCTCTTACATCGTTTCGTGAGTTCCGACACCTCGATCCTACAAACTGACCCACAAATGAATTCCCGTCTAGCCTTGCAGAAAGCTTGAAATTTTATGAAATTAAAACTTTGGAGTCTGGGTACAAAGGATTATTAAAAATGACTGGTTTTAAAATGGTTTGTCTTCTGAGCAGTAAACGAACTGGATGTAGTTGAATTCAGTTACTTTGATTTTACTCGTACATTTCCCTTTACGTTGATGAATCGAGTCCGGAAACGAGTTTGCCTAAGAAGCTAGATTATTCATAATTTCTGGATGGTGTTCCACGATCGGCAAATTTAAGAAAAAAAGTTTCCTTTAATCCAATAGCCAACTCTATTTTATGCGTGAACTTAAGAAAGAAGATCAAGGTTGTAGCTTCAAATAAAATTAAGCCTAAAATAATGTCAACGACTTTCTTCCTTGTTTTTTCACTAACTCCAAACGACGACAAAAACGAATGCGGGAGCAGCAAGGGGGACAAAAGAAAAACGGATTCCAGGGGCTACTGTGCCGGTGGAAGTAAACGTCGAGAACTTGCTTGCGTTAACTGAGTAAGAGACGGCTTCAAAAACTCAGTGGTTTAATAAGCACAAGCCCTTTAAAGTCAGGATAAGAAGTGTAATGGACCAATTGCAAGCGATTAAAATTAGGACTAATCGCTAAGCAGAAACAGAAATCAGAAATCAAATGGACACAATTGTAGTCTGCTTAGCAAAGGCTTTATTACAGATGTAACTAGTATAATTCTCGTTCCAAAACTCAACGAATTCCAGAGGAAAGTCTTGCTTACGCGCAGACCTAGATTGCTGGATTATAGCTTGATTTCTTTAATTCAGGTTCACAAACTTGCACCTTTCGAATTCTCCCATAGGCTCACAAGTTTCTGGTGTCAATCATAAACTAAAAAAGGAACTGGCTTAATCAGTTTGGTCTGCGTAAGCACATTAGATCGCGGAAAAAAGTTTTAGTCATAATAACAAAACCACAAATTGCAGGGGGAACAGGGAATAAAAAGTGCCTCCTTTACCGCATCACACGTAAGTTCCGTTGACAAAGTACCTACTTCCTTTGTCTGCGACAAATTCATTCTTGAGTTATTTGATTAATTGCTCCTTAACTCTAGGTAACAGAGAGTTTAAAAGAACCGCCACCAAAACACCCCTTCAAGTGCTATACAATTTTATTTGTGAGCTGTTAAATTAAGTTCCTCATTTCTCTGAAACGAGGAGTTTAAAAGCGTTGCCTCCTCAGCAACTAAATCACTTACCCTGGATACGACTTAAGGTAAGCCAGTTAAAAACTCAACAAAAAATCTGTAACTTTTACTTGGAGGGAAGGTAGAGGTTTGCTCTTTTTTGCCCTCCTTAGCTTGTGTGTTCATGAAATGGGCTATTGTGACGTACCTCTGTTTATTACTCCTTTCTTGCTTTGTTCTGTTTCTTTTTTGTTAACAACAGACTCTATCTTAGAGTATATATACTTTTATTAATTTTTCGTACCATGCATGTATACAGTTACATAGGTGATCTAAGGACACTCACTGGATGGTTTACTGATAAACTACGGTTAACTCCACATTCATGTTCACGTAAGCCTCCACGCCTTAGCTGATTGAGCTTTAGTTCTACATGAGTTCTGATTTAACTTAAGCCTCAAAGCAACAGATTGGAGCAAGTCGTACTTTGATTCCAGCACGTCTCGTCCAAGGTGGCTATCAAATTAAGTTGGCAAGTTTCTAGGACAGATTTCAGCCCATCTTACCAAGAAATAGCAAAAAAAGGGCTTGGGGCTTAATACTGTACTATTTTTTTAGGGTCCCTATGCCTCTTTTTGAGTAAATGTAACAATTTTACTTCAAACCTAGGAACATTACTTCATCGTTATTCACTTCATTGTCTTCGTTTCGTGGATCAGTACCAGTCATTTAAAGATGGTATCACAATTTGTGCCACTTCTGTGCTGTTCCTTTGCTCTTTTGGTGGTAAGTTATTTCCTGCTTGTATTAAGTTTGATTTCAATGTCCTGTTCAGCAGAGTCCAGGCTTTCACTGCAGATCATTGCAGAGAATTAAATGAACCCGGATTGAACCTCCAGAGTTGCTCAACTAAGTAGTACTGAAAACTAAATATGCTTACAAAGAAGAGAACCAAACGTAACCAAGGATATTAGATTGCTTTTTTGTCACTGTTGTATCCGATTGTTTACGGTATAGTGAAATTTAGTCACTTATGATGGTCTCGAAGCCACTTTTATGTGGCTTTTGTGCAGCTGTTTGACGTCCTCAGCTTATATATCTTCTGGGAAAATGACAAATTGTTTTTCGGGTCCTATTTAGCTTCATGGTGCACCTGAATTTTAATTCAACAGTTGTCAGCTGTCTCATTGGCTTGATTAAGTAACACGAAAATTCTCTTGCTTTAATTCTAGGGAGCAGCACTTGCTTCATCTCCAGAGGCGAAATCTCGTAACAAGCGTGCAGTGTCGATTCCATCCAAGCATACGGTGGACGATCTTGTTCTTGAACTGGCTAAAAAACATGTGAGTTAAAACTTTTAAGGAACTATGCAACAGTTTCTGCATAATGAGTTGAAGATTCAACATGCATTTTTCAAGTATCCGTGGTACTGTTACAAAAAATCAAGAGATAAATTGCAAAAACAGTGGACGAAGATCCTGCTGGTCGTCAACTTTGGATATTAGGAAAGATCTAATCAGCTAAAGCTGTTTAAAAAAAAAAAACGAGAAGTCCAAAAACTACTGCGAAGCTGGAACATCGAGTATTTTCAAACTTTTTCAAACAATACTGATTTCGGCTGGCCAGACCAGCTGGTGTTACTAATTTTAAGTAAAAGTCCGTACCATTATTCTGCAAACAATTACGTCCTTTATAGTACATTATTCAGCCTCTAATGTTTTCCTATATTACAAATTGAACTCTAATTGTATTTGGAGCTTGTTCAGCAGGAAATAGAATTTGAAAAAATGATGAGTCAAAATATCTTTTTTTTTTTTTTTGATTCAAAATATCTACCGTGGCAGCGCCCCTTTAAACTTATGTAGGGCTATTTCTTAGTTCTTAGAAGTGGCTAAAAGTTATTACAAATTAGGGGTGCGTGTGACAGGGAAGGCATCAAAGGGAAATACACAATAGATACCAATTCCCGGCAGAGAGAAAGTCCTCGCAGCAAAAAGTGGCTTAGACACTGAGAAGGTTCGATAAGGGACGCCGAATTAGGAAACAGCAATTCTTTTCTTTTAGTAGTTACATTTTTATGTTTTTCGACAATTTAATAGGAAATCATTAAAACGTTTATTTAAAAAAACAGCATTGTATAGTACGTATTGGCTATACTGAGACCGCTTTAGCTAGAGTACTTGATGCTCTTTGAAACCTGTCTGAGATGCTAGCTCGAGGGGCCCAAAATAGACTCCAAATGATGTGTTAATACATTATTAAAAGCCTCACTAGATTTTTAATTCACAGATTTAAATAACTGATATTTGATTTTTTATCTTTAATATTTTTCTTTATAGCTGATCAAGATGATCGTTGAACAACAAACAGACATGGCAAAGATTCAGCACAGTCTCTCAACATTGCAACGAGGTGAAGAAGTGTATTGGGTTTAATTTACTTTGTTGCTTTTAGACTTAATGCAGACAGAAGTATTAGACTATTTTTTAGTATAATATTATTACCAACAATCGAAACTTATTCAAAATAGCACACTTACTAATAATTTTGCTTTTACCGTATCTTGGGCTCACCACTTCTGTTTGTTCTGGTATGAGTGATAAAACTTAAGCAGAATTTCAAATATTGTTTGTTTGTATAAAATTTTAAATAGTCAATTAGTGCAATGGTTGGATAAAGTCCGTCAGAAAACTTTGGTAATGTTTTTGCTAGCTTTTTGGGGGACTTGACCATTCTCAACGTTTAATTGCACTCCTATCATTTTGAACAAACTAACAAACAGAAGCGTCAATGTATTCAATCTCAATTTTTGGGCCAAAAGTAAAGATCGATTGTGCCTCGGGTCAGGGGGCTCCCAAAATAATCTACAACTCCCCTGTATTAATCTTTGATTTTTACCAGCATTCATAACCACTCGCCTCAGTCTACTAACTATTGTAAACAAAGAAAAGAAAGAAATGGTAAAATGAATTTCAAATACAAAGGCACTGTCTGGGGGGGGGGGGGGGGGGGGGGATTTTCTCTTCTTTGATTTTGGGGGTGTTGGGGGGGGGTTGGGGAGGGGGGGGGGGGGTTCCTAAAAATTTTTAGGAGGGGGGAAACAAAACCCCGCCTGGAAAGGATTCACGGGAAAAGAAAAAAATAAAAGGGAAAAAAGAAAATTCCAAACCACAAGTAGGCTGTTCTTACTCAAAGCCACCAGGAGAATAAAATAAAATGTAAAAAAAGAAAAGAAAAAGAGAAAAAATAATTAATAAGAAAGTAGGGGGGGGGGGGGGGGGGGGGGGGGGGGGAGGGGAATTTCTCTTCCTTGCATCTTGGCGTGATGGGGGAGAGTTTGGGAAGGGTGGGGGAGTGTTCCTACAATCTTTAAGCAGGCTGCAATCAAACCCCGTCCTGACAGGAGTTCATGGGATAGTAATAAATGAACAGGGATACACGAAACTTCCAAGCTACAGTTAGCTGATCTTAGCTCTATTTGCATGACTGTATGATAACATAGTATCGAAGTATTGAAAAAGCTATTCATAACTAATCAAGCCACTTATATTTGATAAATTCCTGTTCCTTGGTTTGTTGCAGACGGTTGTACAAACATCAAGTCGGTTGGTGCGCCTGTGACTCACAACACACGACAATATACCCAAGGAGCCTGGATGAAAGACCCACTAGGCTTCATGGGAGATAAGATATTTGTTATGGAGTCATTTGCTGGAAGAAAAGTGCTTGAACAATATGAAAACATTTTCAAGTTCAAGGCAGGAATAGTTCAAAAGAAGCATACGTTGCCTTATAATTATGACGGAACAGGAGCAGTAGTGTACGGGCCATACCTTTACTACAACAGGTGAGGTTTACATATGAATGATTCTCCCACGTCACGCAGCGGTTTTGGTTTCGTCACGCAATGCGTCTCCCCGAGAGAAAGGAGCGTTCGATACGAAGCAAAAGGAGCTGATGAGTGGGAGATCAACAAAAGATCTGTTACTGCAAATTTCCCTCTGCACCAGAAAAATGTTCTTTTCCTGGTTGCCACAATTTTGAGATCAAGTAAAAAATAAAAAGCCTCTCTCAGGTCATCTGACCCTGAAACTGAGAAAGAAAACTGACCATCCGATCTTCCCTATATTAGCACTTGTTTGCCTTCAGAATGATAAGTTAGCCACAAAATCAAGCAGTTTTTAATGTGAGGTGGAAGATTTGTTTATTTTAGACGCCGTTTTAGTCTATGAAGATGTAAGATCGGCTTTAAAAGTCCAAGAAAACAATCTCGTGATATTTGAATGCCTGTTCCTTTGCTTTGTAAATCAACAGAGAAAATTCACCCTACATCATCAAGTACAATATACTGACAAGTAAGCAAGAAGCCCTTATTAACTTAGCTTCAGCTGGCTTTACACAGAGGAAGAATTATTACCAATGGGGTGGTAACACTGGAATGGACTTGGCTGTCGATGAACAAGGATTGTGGGCTTTGTGGGCCGATACTGACAATTCCTACCGACTTTACGCTTCTAAAATTGATGTCTACAGAAATGTCATTATCGACACGCGCGCCTTGACTACAGGTAAGAGCATGTGCGTGATTCATTTACTGTGTAACCTGTCCCACTTTTCAGCGGACACAAAATCTGGTGCCGAAGAATGTTCACATTTTCTTTGTCTTAAGGGACACTTCTTCTGGGTCCCGAAGGGGACACCTTAGCACTCAAAAAGTGACTGACCACAAAAATCGTTAATACATTGTATTGTTCACTAGTCACGGAGGCGACAGCTTTCAAAACATGAACTTTCTCACTTTAATCAATGCAATGCAGTGTGGGAATTAAACACACAACATTGCAGAGATAAGTTAATCATGATTTTTTTTACACTAATATTATCTAGCTACATGAAGTAATGACCGCAGAAGATTCGGAGGCAGAATAAAAGAAAACCATTTTATTTGTTGCTTAATTATTACAACCCCCAGCCCAACCTCCCCTCCGTCCTTCAGGGGACACTCCCCTTTGTCCCGAGGGTGCCCCCTGAATAGAGGCTCCACTGTATACAACTCAGAGATCCGGCAGTACAAAGGCTTCCTACTTCCCTAGCTCCTATTTACTAATTTTCTTGGAATTTAACAACAGAGAAAAGCGAAAAACAGCTCTCACCAAATTTGAGGGGGCTGTGTCATGGCTCTCAAGTTCATTTTACTGATAAAGCCGATTACATGTCCTTTTTTGCTACGAAAATTGCGAAATTACCTGTTGATTACAGAATCACAGCTTCTTCGTCAAACAAACATGTCTCCCAAGTATTATTTCAGAACGTTACCGAAACAACAAATTAAACGAACTTTAAAACCTTTAAGGCCAACAAGTTTTTGTCCATCCTTTTCTTCTTTTGTTCTTACCGTGTTATTTATATCTTCTTCACAGGTTGTTAACAGTTATTTTTATGTTTCACTCAATTTGGTGGCAGTTTCCACTGTTTGAATTATGAAAAGTTTGGTGCCACAGCTCCTGTTCAGTTGACAACGCGAAATTCAATTCTTTACTGCCTTTTGGACAGAGAACTGCATCTCCCTTCTTCCTTCTCAGTTTTTTTTTTTCTAGTTTTCAATTTCTGTTTTATTTTGTTACATATAGAAAGAATGCACCACATGGGGAATGCTTTTGTCGCCTGCGGTGTGGTCTACTGTATAGACGCCTATAATTCCCGGTCCACAACCATCAACTTTGCTTACGACTTCAAAACTGGACGTTCATGGAACCCCAACATTCAGTTCACCAATCAGTACGGCTATAACTCCATGGTGGACTACAACCCCAGTGAAAGAGTGCTGTACGCCTGGGACAACAAGCGTTTGGTCACTTATCCTATCACTTTTGAACCACAGAAGTAAAAAGGAAACTGCACCAGCCCAAAACTGCACCGAAGTTAAATGCGTTTCTTTCAACAGATCAGAAAACAGAGTGCAATTAAAAAGTGGACGTACAAGGAGAACGGTAGTGGCTTCGCTTATCTCCTTTTCGTAAACGGTCGATACCATTATTGGTAACCAAGCCTTTAGTCAGTATAGATGTAATATATTCTCTGGATTAAGTTACAATTACTAGGCAAATAATACGTTTTTTAATAGTCGAAGAAAGAACGACGTTGAAGCCCAAGTTGAATTTACGTCAAAATTTATGTAAAGAGCAAGGGTCACTTATTATTGATGTATAAGAAAGACAGTTTGCTGGTTTATGTGCTTAAATTTTTTCGGATCTTTTAGCGGGTCTTTGTGGTAGTGTAGTGGCAAGGCAGAGAGATTAGGATACGAAAGGTCCGGGTTCGAGGTCCGGGTTAGGTCCTGGGTTGCAATCTATTTTCTTTTTAATAGAAGTACTCTAATAACAGGTCAAAAATTTTCCGAGTGTCCCATGCAAAAGTGGCAGCGAGCGTTTACGAAAGGGACAACTGTAGTGGCGTCATCCACGAGTTTTCTCAGTTTATTTTTTTTCCTCAGAGAGTTCTTTAAAATCTGTTTATGTATTCCTTTAGATACCTTTTGGCAAGGTTTAGTGATAATCAGTTGTTATAGTCACGAGATATGAAACAAATTAAGTAAACGGTCAAGATGAACACCATTTTGAGTGAGTGACCTCAAGGCGGTCCCCAATGTGCGCCATTGCCTGCTTAGCTGCGGTTTTGTTTGTCGAGTGCGCAAATTAGCGTTGCCCAGCCACGAGGAGAATGAGAAACGCTTCCGCTATGCGCGCGTTTTCACAGCTTTTTTCTTTTCTCGCCAAACAAAAGGGTTGCTACGCAGGCTAAGCGCCATAAAATTTATATCACCTTGTAGAGCTAGTCACCAGCATTCTATTATCCTACTACAGTGAAAAAACAAAAGAACTTATATTTAGCGATATTGGTGGTTTGAATTTGTCTCTACGTCCCAGGTTTAAACGAAAAAATTTAGATACAATTTACACTCAGAAGCAACTATCTCATGCCACCATATAATGTATGTGCCAATAACGCTTGAGCTTTTAGTGTTAATGTCAGTCTTCAGTCTCCATGCAGAAGTCTACAGGCTTTGTTGTATGTGTACAACAAAGGAAAAGATAGGAGATGCCTGCAACCAGCCCGGCTAACTGATTACCATACAGCTGATTTGGCAGGTTTAAAAAACTACTTTAGGAAAAGCATAAGGTTTTTCAGATATAAGTAAAGTCAGTGGGGTTTGGCCTTGAGTCACACGACTTTCTAAGATCTGTTGTTTAAATTATCGCTATTGTAACCTGAGTCAAAAAGGAATAATTTAATTTGAATGCCCTGTAGTCAGGTAAAAATAAAAGGTGCAGATGAAAACACTCATGTATGGAGGATAATACTCAATCAGACTTTCTTTTATTTCTTATTAGAGATTTGTCTCCCACTGAAACCGAAATATCAGGCAATTTCGTTGAAATGTTTCTCTTTTTTTTATTTTTCTTTATTCTTTGTCTTACCTTTTTGTTTCGTTCATCACTTTATCGTCAGGATCGGTTTGCCGTTTTATATTTGTGCATATGAGCTATCTTTACTCATCCAAAAACAGTGGACCTTTTCCAAAGGGACATCGCTATTCAAGGGACACCTCCATTAAGGGGTCACAAAAATTGGTCCCGGAAAAACGTCCACATAATCTTTGAATCTGTTAGCTCTATTGAAGAGACACCGGGGGAAAGGGGCACGTTTTCTGGGTCCCGAAACCTTGGTTTGACCTCTATTCAGGGGACACCTTAGCACTTAAAACGTGACTGACCACAAAGGGGCTTCATATCTTTAAGTGTACATGCTCATCACAATGATGGTAGCTTTCACAAACTGACTTATCTCACTTGTGTGAATTCAACAAATGATGTAATTAAGTGAAAGATTATTTTATTTTATATTGTCTCTATTGGCAAATTATTATCAAACTCCAGCCCAACCTCCATTCAGGGGACACTTGCCTCAGTCCCGAGGGTGTCCGCTGAAGAGAGGTTCCGGTACCTATGGCGTACTGATCCCCGCCAAATTTCATGGTTTGAATTTTAAATTGCATTGCTCATTTAAATGTTCAACTTCAACACTTTTACACTCTTCCTTTAGAATTCGCATCATTGGAAAACGTTTTTACACTTGTCTTTTAGCTTTTGAACTCAACTTTTTATTTGACCTTGTTCGCTCATGTACATTTTCAACTCAACAAACAAATTTTTATACACTGCTACTTTTTATTAGTTTTGATACCTGAAACACCACTCTACTTTGGACAGAGATGCCAATTTTGCATTCGATACTCACTCGTCGCATTTCGCCAGTCATCACGTGAAATTTCAAACTCAACGTAGTATATTATATTTTCAACTCATCTTTTGAATTTTTGTTTACGCTTCAGTGATCATTGCTCGCGCGAGACAAAAGAAGCCTTTGTGGGAGTGGGAGATGGCGACCTATCGACCTCCTCCCCCGGCTCTTTCGCTAGGCAACAAACGACTTTCACCCCAAGCCAAAATACTGCTTGCTCTGTTAAAACGTAAAGCATTTAACTAAAAGATTTTCTCTTGTCCGTAAATGCAATGATTTCCTGCAATGTTTTGTCTCTGTTGAAGTTGAAAATTGGTGTCTGTTTGTCGCAAAAATGCAGTGGAATACATTGCTGGTAAGTCTTTTTTATTCAATTCATTTAAGAAAAAGTAAGGTTTAGCGTTATTTAGCGTGCGTAAATCTCAGTAATATATTTCTCATACAAAGTCTCTTATATTTTCAACGGTCGCCTGTAACGCGACAGCGGCGCCTATGTTATGTAAATTACATTACACCTTTCCCTCGCAACGTGAGTTTGGGCCACCTGTGTTCTCATATATTCTCTCTAACGGCCAGCGCTAAAATCCCTCTTTTCGTTTCTCCTTGCCCGCTGGAATGTTATTTACAAAGCGAAACGAAAATTGAGCCTGATCTCAGGTTAGGAAATTAGCGGTGTTTTAACACTCGGCTAGTGCTAAATTCCCCGCGAAGTCGGGGGGGTCGGAGGGCCGGAGTTTCAATAGACTGATACATAAGTTATGCTTACTGCAGCGGTATAAATGAAAAAAAATTCGGAACTTATACGATTGCTGCGATTAATCGTCAACGCGCCAAAGGAATCAAATTTCACGGACCATTCTTGACGTTTTCATCAGTCGCTGAAAAACCTGGCCGTTGTCGAGAGGTATTTCGGAGTTACGGACACGCTTTAGTGGCTGTTGCCGTTGTGGAGAGGTGGCCGTTTTAGAGGGGTTTTAATAAGAGTCAATGTGTGGACTGTCCGCCGGGAAGAAAAAAAAGTAGAAGTTCGACTGTAATCACATGAGTTATACAATAACACCATATGCGCTATTTGCATGACCATGTCTAAATTTAAGCCCTAATTCAACTAATTAGTACGTGCAAAACATTACAAAACGTTACAGATCTCATTCATTCATTCATTGATATTAATTTGGTTCTTAATTCAAAGCATTGCGAGATAAATGAAACTAATTCACAGTTAGTAATGGTAACAGGACTGAGTGGAGTCCAGTTCGGTCACAGGCGGCCCAAACTCATTACTGCTAAGTCTTTCTCTTAGCAGTGGAACACGAAAATAGCGCTAACTTGCCGAAAACGCTTCAAAAGGGCCTGAGACGCGGGCAAACAGCAAAGAATACAACAAGGCAATAATGTAATGTAAAATGTAAAACATAACATTTTTTCTCTCTTTTAAGAAAAACCGTTTACATCCCATACAAGCCTTTGTAAATAACCGTTTGTAACACAACACCGCTCGCAAGCAAGAGTCACGTCCGCGTTCATGTAATGGGTTTGGGCCACCTGTGGTTCGACCTATAGTCATACGAGTGATTTTATCAAAATCGGACGACCGCGTAGCGGGAGTCCGATTTGTTTAATCACGAGTATGATTACAGACCGAATTGGACGACACGAAGTTCTGTTACCAATTAATCATAACTTTAACAAAATTTGTGATATATTAGGCTCATTTTTTTAATCAAAACACAAGAAACTCCGACAGTTTTTTTTGCTTGCAGTGAAACTGAAAAAAGCCATTTAAGCGCGCGCGTGATGGCGCGTACTGTCCAATCACTTAGGCAAGATGCGTACTGTCCTATTAAGGCTGAAATCAGGGCAGTTGATAGCCAATCAGATTTAAGAATTTTGTTATAGTTATGATTAATTAAATAATCAGAAGAATTCATAAGAAGAGATATTAAAGTATCGTGTGAAAGTGATTTGAAGTCAGGTATTTTAGTTTCCTAGTTTAGAGAAAAATATGCCTCTGATCTGAGAATAAGCCTTACAATCTAGTAAGAAATGATTTTCATCTTCAATTTTGTTACTTGTACAAAAGTAACATATCCGTTCATTGCGCGGGATTTTTTCGTATCTACCTGTTTCAGTTCTAAGTTGATGACTACTTATTCTAAATCTAACTAATGCTTTTCTCGAAGGGTTTTTTCTTGTTCAAACTAGGTATAGTCGTCTTTGATTGTACAATAAAAACTGAGTTTTTGTGATTGTTGAAGAGTCTCATTCCAGTAAGAGAGACGTATTTATTTTTCAATATGCCGACTGTGTGAGATCACACTTGCGTGTAATTACATGAAGCGGTTCAATCGTGGGCTCAAAACAATCATTAAAAATGACAACATGTCGGCTTGCAGAGTGAAATGTGGACCTCGTTTGTCACAAAACCTCCATGTCTCCTTACGCCTTCTCTGCAGCAGGCATCTCTGTAGCTCAGCAAAGGTAAGATAGCTATTACGTGTAAAAGTGAAGGATATCTGCGACGGATATCACCAAGGCCCGTTTCAAACGTCGTGCTACTGCCGTCCCGACTAAATTGATCATTCG